CCAAGAGGCTTCCTTGGCTGGCCAGAGAAATCACAGCTACAAAAATCACACTAACACTACCAAAAATTATATGCACATGGAACATGTATTCCAGAATATTACTATTTGTATTCAGAATGGCTGGCAACTTCAAGAAAAGCAAAAAAGGTTGCTGGTTTCCTCTTCTCGGAAGACATACTAAGTTTAAAATGGCATATGCACTTCCTTTTGTAGGTTGCTAATTTCACAATAATGTACATTAGGAAAATTGATTTTCTTTGTACGTAATTTTATTTTTGTTAACTTTTTAGATGATGAAATGCCCCAATATCTAAACACAAATGAGATGAAGTGAGAGAATGGGCTTGTACTGTACTTTTCACTTGATCAGTAAAAAAAGAGTTACTGGTGTTTAGGAATTACTATTAGTTTAATGGCCACTGGGAAATGATTTGACAAGAATGACTTGCAAAGATTATGGAACAGAGAAAAGGTTCTGAATAGAATTCTTTTAGAGCAGAAAGGGGTAACATTTATTTTTAAATAACCTTGGTTCATACCATTCATTTTTGCACTTTGGAGCCTTCTCAGTCAATTTCAGCAACATAAATTCCAGAAAGGGCAACTAAATGAGAGACCTACCCTACAAGAGAACAGATTACTCTAAATCAGCAATATCTCTTTATTACGACAGTCTAAGGAAAGCTACAGCAAACTGAGGCTGCTCATCTATTCCAAAAAGCATGAGAAATACGTATTTTTAACAATTCCTTTTATCATCATCCCAAAACGATTGTGATGTCTTACTTTTTATTTTGTAATTCAGAATACATTCTTGAAAGAGCTTTCATGAGGTCTCAAAAGCATAGCTTGGACATTTACTCTGGTTCCAGCTTGCAGGGTCTTGAGTGAATTCCTTTTGATGTTGTGACAGTGAACTTTTACCCTCTGGACAATTCACCAGCAGAGGTAGGCTGCTCCCTTACTGCTTGCCTAGAAGTCTCCAGGAATCTTTATCTCATGCTGGGCTTTCACAAGACACTAGAGAATCACTCTACCAAGATCATCAAGGAGTTCACCACATAATAGACTTCATACAGATTTTATCAATGGACCCAGCAGAGAGTTAAGAATTCTATTCAGAACCTTTTCTCTATTCCTTAATCTTTCCTTCTTGTCAAATCATTTCCCAGAGGCCATAAAACTTCCACTACTAAGTCCAAAACACCAGTAACTCTGGCTCTCTACTGATCAAGCAAAGACTACAGTGTAAGCCCATCTCAAGCAACTCAGTTTCTCTCTGATGTCTACAAAAATGAATTTCAATGCATGCAGAAAGTAGATATCCTCCTCTCTCATACATCTATCTTAGATAACTGCTCAGACCACTCTTGAGATCTGTGGGCTGTACTATCTGTTCTTTTTCTTTGTTCTGTGTTTATGGTCTGAGTTTCAGTACCACACAGTGTATAACTTGGTCTCTGTTAAATCCCCACTAATATAAAAATGGTGAAATAGTAGAAAAACTCAGTTCATATCAACTGGAGTAACAGATTGCTTGAGGAACTTAAAGTTCCTTTTCTGAGAGCCTCCCTGTTTACAAATCTGCATATAACTTACTGACATTAAGAACAGATGTTAGTAGCAAGCCAAACTCAGGATGGTTTCAGGCTAAATGTGACTTCTCAAATTAAAAGAACTCTAAGAAAGTGACTACTAGCACATCGATTCAAATAGCTCAGGGACAGTTTTGTTTTCCAGTAATAATTCATAAACCTCTTTCTGGAGTTAGCTTTTTAAGAACTTCACTGTCAAGAAACTGTAAAAATATGTGCAGTTTGGATTTAATTCTTTGATGTGTATACCAAAGCTTGGCACCCCTCTTCTGGCCTCAAGGTTAACATCATAATAATGCCACATGTTAGTAGTATCATAGTTAAGAATCTGTCAGTGTTTTGTCCGTAATGCCTCTTTTTACAGGAATACTTAAGACAGTTAAAATATGCTCTAGGCTAAAACTGAGTACATAAGGGCTGAGCTTGGAAATGAATTTTCAATTAAAAACATATATTTTAAAGAAAGAAGGAAAAATATCCATCTGTTGAAGGACGAAGAAGCTCATCAGTTGCTAACTTCGAAATAGACTTCACCTGTAAGCATAAATTTCATAAACTGCTCTCTGACTGGAATGCAATAACAGAGAAACTGCCATACAGTCTCAAACCAACTGCTGGTCTGGTTCATTTATCTTGCCTTTAATAGTAACCAATACCAGACTTTTGAGAACAGTGAGAAAGATTGTCTAAAGTTTAAGTCATTAGCCCGCAACATGAGAAACTGGAGTTCAGCATCTTTCTATGCCATGGATCTTTTAGGCCCAGGCCAACAAAAGAAATGAGATGACATTTAGTTCCCTAAGTCCCAAAATGCAAATCTCAAAATCTGTTTAATGGAGGTGCACTGATATATCGGTTGCATACTGGATTGGCACCAATAAAAGGGAAATTTACAGTATTAGCTATTGGATTTTTTTGGCTGATAATGTTCGCTAATAAATATAATGAATTACGCCTTCTGGCCAGGGCCCCCGGACACCACATGCATGTGCATGGCTGCACACACACATGTGGCCAGGAATGTAGCTGGGCAGCATGGAAAGCAGCTCTCTGTAGGTAAGTCTGTAGAGGGGAAGGGGTATGGGGGTGCAGATCAAGGCTCCCACAGCGAGGGAGGGAGAGTGGCAGGGGCAGGGATTGGGGGAACTGCCCAGCAAGGGTGGTGAATGGGACATGGTGCTGGGGCAGGGAGTGGGACAGAGCTGCAGGTGGCTCGTCCAGAGGCATGGAGGGGGAGAGGGGGCAGCTCCCTGCTGCTGCATGCTCTCCCCAGGGAAGACATGGGGGGGACATATGCCTCCCCAGATTTGTGCAGGGTGGATGTGGGCTGTTCATTGTGGGCTTGGGGCTCTCTGCCCTGCTGCCTTTGTCCCAGGAGCCCTGCGCTGGCCATGCAGGGGCAGCAGCAGGGGCAACGAGTTGTGCCTCCCCCTGCCAGGTGGGCAGGGGGTGCACAGCTGGCACAGGGCTCCCAGGGCAAAAGCAGCAGAACGAAGAGCTAAGAGCCCCCAGCCTGCATCCACCCTCACCCCTTTCAGCTTTGCTCCAGTTAAAAGCATCCCCACACTTAAAAACGGTGGCAGTGCTTGAAGTAAAGCTCATTTGACAGCCTTGAAGTAAAGCTCACTTAGTTGAAGCGCCCCCGCTGCCATTTTTAAGCACTGGGATGCTGATCCCATGGATGTCCTGCTTCCTGCCCCAGCCTGGGGTCCACCAGTCCCTGCCCCACTCCCTCCCTCACTGTCAAGGCCTCAATCTGCCCCCCATACCCCTTCCCTCCCCTGTGCCCATTCCTCCCCACAGACTTACCTGCAGGAAGCTGCCCTCCACACTGCCCGGCTACATTCCTGTAAATTGGTTATCAGATCGGCATATCTAACTAAATATGGCTGGTTTCATAGTTGGTAGGGTTGGAAGGGACCTGAGCAGA